TTTGGTCTCAAGTAACTGGAAGCAAAAGGCAGTCATGTTTACTCCAATATTTTAGTACATTATCAGCTGTACTTTTATGGGTGAACTTCACTTTGGAAAATCAAACATTCTCAACGAGATTTCTGGAAGTATTCTGCTTTGAACTATTGCCAATAGAAATTAGCACAAAACTAATGTTATGAGGACAGCCGTGAATCCTGCAGTGAACACATTCAACTAATCTCAGAGAGTCCATGAGTTTTCTTAATATAAAACAAAGAGCATTCTGCACTTCCAAGGTACTTCTGAACTTTGGCCAATCAGTTTTCCCCTTTATCAGGTGACATTCTTTTCTATAGAGGATCTCACAAAAATGCTCAATCAAAAAGCCACCTTGCACCCTGAATCTTGAGGTCTAAATTTGCAAGTTTCTAAAGTCTGAGGAGGAAACATCCCTTTTTAGCCAACCAATTTCCAGACTCTTTGGTAGTGTATGTCCTCATTGGTATTTAACTGTAGGCATGACTCTAAATCCAAACCCACCTGTCATCCAGATTATTTGCCCAGAAATTTGAACACAAATCCTAATTTGGGGTCAACTGTGATGCCCTTCAGAAAGAGAAAGAGCCCTTATGCACACTAAAGGACTTTGCTTAGCCCCTCTTCTCATCCACACTTTCTAAAGTGATTGTAAATGGGTAAAAATAAGCAATATGTCACACAAATCCATGGGGAGAATAATCCAAGTTCAATTCTTTGTGAAAACAGGATGGATATTTTTCCCCAATGGATGCAGCCAGCAATGTAGGTAGAAACCATACGGATGTTGACCTACTCTTTACTTTGCAGAGAACATATCTCTATGTATCAACCACTAGAAAGCAAACTAAACTGCAAAATCAATGTCTCTTGACTATTTTGCACAGGCCAATCATCTGATGAAAAAATTGAGTGCTTCACTAGCAGCTCTCCAAAAGTTGAAGAGCTTAGGCTAGAAAAGCTGAGTTGTGCGTGCGTTGATGATTTCATGTTTGTGAATGAAGTGGGAATGAGAACAATGAGCTAAAGTTGAATAATAGCAAGATGTTTGTGTGGGGTAGAATAATAAAATGCTTGACAATTTAGTCAAAATATTATTATTTCCGATGATGTGTCTTTCAGATTCTTGAAATGCCACAAATTATTTCTATGTCTCTTTGCAGGAAGTTGAAGTTCTTGCCCCACATCTTAGGTCACAGTTCAGCAAGATATTTAAGCACGTCACTAACTTTATTCAGATGATCAAAAGCATCCACTTGTTTTCCATTTGCTGAACCAGAACCTGCAAATACACATGCAGAGATGTTGTCCCACTGAACTCAAATGCAAAGTAACTTGCATGAATTTGCATTGGCAGGGTTGGGACTGCATAAGGAACGGTATTTAGCTCTTACAGTGTATTTTTCTTACAGTAAATTTCTAAATGATTTGCAGAGTAGTTTAGTATCATTCCCATTCTATGGAAACAGAGAAAAACACTTGTTTCTAAGCAGATCATTGGCAGAGCCAGGATTAGATCCCATATTTTCTGAACAACAGAACAAAGAACTATCATCTGCAATGTCATGCAACTTTCTTTTTATGCTTAAATAACTTTTCAGTCTTATGGCCCCTTACTTTTTATGGTGGTTAGATGAACTACTGTAGTAAAAACAGAAAGTGCAGGCAGAGAATGGCATGCAAGAAATATGAAAAGAGTAAGTCTCAATTGTTACTTGAATGTATATACCTAAGTTTTCTTGTGAGGCTTGATCCAAAGAATGACTCCCTACTAAACATGACATTACTGTAAAGTGAAGAAAAGTTATTAAGATGAGACGTTAATGATTACCCATGAAAAGCTCTATGAGAAAGAATGGGAACAGCCTTTCATTTGTAGTTAATGTAGTGTGCAGATCACAGTGGCTTTTTTCTCCTTCCTGTTTTGGGCAGATGTATTAAGAAGAAATGCTGACAGTGAAATTTTCCACCTTGCAAAGTATGATTTTATTTTCATTATGCTGTTACTACTGGCAAGACAAAAATGCACCACATTATATGCATTCTTTCATACTCACATAATAGGAAGGACAGGTACCAATTCTGCCACTTTAAAAAATCAAACCAACTTTCTAAAGGCAGAGAAATAATATTTAGCTTGTAGAGATAAGGAAACAGGGATAAATGACTTTTTTGCAATTGCATAATAATAGATCTAGGAATGGACATGCTCTCCTGATGTTTAATTCTACAGCTGGACAATGGTGATTAGGAGCAAGACCCTAGGAAAAAGTTCAAAATCCTTTGCTAAAGTGCCTATACATACAAGTGTCAAAGTTTTGACACTAGTCGAAATCAGTGGAACAGCTGCTCACAGGAGCGCTGAAAAGTCAGGCCCACAATTCATTCCTCAAACATAGACACAAAAAGGTGGTTCAAAATAAACAATATGTCCCTCAAGCACAGGCCCATCTTAAATGTATGTCAGGCACCCAAATGTTTGCTGAATGATTTGCTGCACTTCAGCAGAAATGAGCATTAATGTCTCTTTCTCATAAATCTTCCTTCTTGGGAGCTGAACAGATGAAAAGACTTTGCAATACATACAGAAGAGCAACTGCTATCTGATGTTTCATGGGCCGGCATGTTTAGGCACTGATTAAGGAAGAAAAAGCTACTGGCACCTCTGGCATGAAGTCAGTAAACTCCCCACCAGTGAGCAATGAATAGCACAGCCCCAGTTCCTCCTGGTTTGGGGAACTATACAAGGCATGTAGGGAAAATGCTGTTCTTAACAGAGCATCATCAGATGTACCACCTCCCTTCACTGCCTACAGAACCCAGCCTATTGTCTAGCTCAAGGATAGTCCAATGTGCTCTTCATCATATCTCACATCTTCACTGTTTTAGTTTAAAGGGAGCTTCAGTAAAGCCTTGGGCTGCTGCCAAACTCTAATTTGCTTTCTACTATCACAAGTCCTTCCCCGTAGCCTTGCCTTGGGATCCATCTTCTGAAATGGACTGTTCCACTCTGTTGTCTCCCCTGTGTTTTTCCCAAATGGTCTAAGAACAAGGAACTGCATTTAGCTGTGACTTTGTCATGATGCCAGCTACTGCTTCTAAGGAGCGATCTTAGAAGGATCTGTCACAGAATTCAACTATATTACTGTGGAGTTCCTAAAGAGCTTTTGCACCACTGAATAGAAACCCTGCCACTTAAAGCACTGCCTATCCTCAAATTTTCATGCAGACAGGCTACATTTTTAGTTTATTAACTAGTTAAATTTTTTTGATTCCTCTGGGAAAGCTTTGGACCAATTCTTCTCTCTCCTTTATCAACCACTGTTCAGACAATGCAGTTTATTACTATAGTTATCCCATTAAGTACTTAACTGATGCAAAAACCTGGAGACTGAGTGCACTTATGGGCTGTTTTCTCCAATAGGACTGTATTCCCTTATTGCTCATTTATTTCAATACAGCCTTAAATGCAAACTGCAGTGGAGTACAAGTAATACTTTCTATACTAAATCACTGTAGGAGGAAAAGGATTTTTTTTTTTTTTTAATTATCTGATCTGTAAATAAGAGTTTTATGAGAGATGGGAGGTGGGACTGTCAAAACAACCAGATTTTATAGCTCAGTCCCATGTCTACTGAAGTCGGTGGATGCTCCCACAAGTATCATCATTTTTATGTTTACCTGGAGGGTTTCCAATCCCTCTTACTGAATGCTTATTTCCATAAAGATGTTCCTGTTAACAGGAAGGCTCCAATGCAGGTTTACTGATGATTTTGCTGCTGGTTATTACATATGTAACAACATAAAGACAAGATGCATCCAGCTAGAATGAGGGGTCTTGGGATTACAGTTTTAAAGATTTTGAGCTGTGAGTAATAGTTTTCAGTTTTTAATCCAGTGCATCAATGTAAAATGACTTCTATTGGCCTGAAAGATACAGTAACTCAGAAGCTACTCCACGAACTGCTCTGTCACTGCAGATGCAGGAGCTTCTCTAGGGAGGCTGTGACGAACAGCAAACTACAGCAATCATTCACTTTCCTAATTTTAATCTGCTGTTGCATCTGAGTCAGAACATGTTTTGGTTAAGGTATGGAGTTACATAGTCAAAAGAATTTCAGCTCCTAAGATCTCTCTCACACATTAAAGGCCAAAATTCAGCTGCTGCCAACCCTGGAGATGGCTAAAATCTCCAGACATCTACATTAATGCAACTGAGCTTGCTCATGACTGCTTAGCCTGGGCAGTGTCATGGGTATATAGTACTTAATGTTCTTGAGAGTTCACAAACTAGGTAAGTCCCACCCAGGCAGTCTTTGAAGAGGAGCAGGTTAGCTCATGATGGTGGTGGCAGGAGGGAGAAATCTTTTCCTAATAATTCGGCACTACAGCACTCGCCTGTATCATAAGAAAACTTGTGAGAGAATTTTCCCATCTGTTTCAGCAGGGGTAGAACCAAGGTCTCAAACCTAATGTAGCTTTTTTAGTACTGCCAGAGAGATTGACTATCCTGCTGATCCATCTTAGCTATCCAACTTAGTATTTATCGTCAAGTAATCTTTGCACATGGCAAATCGATACAGACTTGATCCCTTACACCACACCATTGCTCTGTGCAGGACTGTTGAGCAATAACATGAAGTATAACTTTAAATTCACTTAGAACAACCTGGATGCAAAACCCTGGCTCTATGGCATGGACCAGGAGAAATCTAGACCATGATTAATCATAATGAACAATAAAGGTGTTTACAGACAATCAGCAAGCAACACTGCATTTGTATGATTAGCATTTTAGCTGTGTTGTTAAACTGGGATAAAAGCAAGCAATTTGGAAATGAATTGGTTAATAATTTTTAATGACTACCTGTGGTGTTAGTAACACGTTTTGGTTAACAGCTCATGAATCCACAAAGAACAATTTAACCTGCATCCTCCAACATCTATGTTAAAACCAGACTATAATAATGGAAGCAACGTACCTGGCAGTACCATCCAATTGCTCTTTCCTTTTATAGAAGAGAGGAAGCATTACAAGAAAGCAAGAAGAGAAGAATTACATAATAAATTCAGCAGGGTTTATTAAACATAAATTGCTAATCTATTGCTAATAGTTTATACGTCTTTTGTTCTGTGACCATAACTGACAGTAGAATAAAAGCTACATTTTCAACTAGCCGTAAAGCAAAGAAAGTGATATAGGTTCCTGAAACCAATCTGTGCTGGCATTCCAGTCTTTGGTGAGAAGCGAACTCCCTTGCCCTCTCTCCCAGGACCCGAGTTGCAAAAACACCTATTAAATTTCAGGTCGCATACGAATCACAGAACCTACTTACAATGAACAAACTTGAAGTCACAGTAATGAGTCTAGACTCCAGGTGAGCCTGAGAATTATTCTCTGAACAAAACCTGAGGTCAAGAAATCCTCTAGAAATGGCTCCATAATGGATAATGTGGGAATAGATAGAGTGAGAAGGGATAAAGAAAAGGAAAGAAATGTACTGAGCCTTAATTAAACACTTGCGATGTTTTTTCTTAGAGACTTCCTTTTTGATGTATGTGAAATCAATCCTAAAGAAATACGTTGTGAATAAAGCAAAAAAAGAGTTAGTATTTGTAATTTGCCCTTTGTGAAGGCAGGAGCCTGAAATGTTTTTTCAAGTTAGTTTTGAGCAACAGCTAGAACTGCAGTATTAGCAAAGTGGAGACCTCTGAGTTAAGCAGTAGTTTAAGGGCATTTTTTTCAGAATGAGGCATAACAGCAAGTCCAAAACGAAAGTTTAAAGCATAAACTTAGATAAGTAATGCCCATTACTAGCAGCTGATAGTCTATAGCTAAAAGTCTTGGCTTTCATATGGTTAACATTTTACAATGTTAAGATCTCAAGGTGAGGAAGATGCCTGTTGACAGGCAAGAAAGGTGAGGATCAGACAGACTCATATCCATAAACATATGAGCATCTATTAAGTCTGAATGTCTTTATGTACGGAATGCTTCCCACTGAACTCAGAAGTGGTGATTAAAATAAAACTATGACCCCAACTCCCCAGAAAAGTTTTCTTGTGAACCTTCAGTTAATAGTATCAGTGGGAGACAGTTTTAAACATGCTTTGGCTGTCTTCCACTGAATTATCCCCTTGAGCAACTGGTATTGCCAAAAGACAAGCATTTAACAAGCATTAATTGTGTTCACATGCCATGGCCACCTCTGTGAAGAACACAATTCTCAGGCCAGTTGAGTTAAAGAAGGAAAAGTAAGAATTTTCAGGATAGCCCATATCTTAAAATACACAACCACATCATAGAGGTTGTGAGAAAGGCACTTCTGAAATCCAGGGCTAAAACTTTATCAGGTTCAAAATTACAGAGGAAGAAATTGATACTTTGAGGGCAATAAATGCAGAGTCTTACAAAGGGAAGCTGATGGTGAGGCAGCCTTCTCCTTTGTTTAATGCCATCATGAGAGCCACTGACGGAGTTATCCATGTGCCCCTGATACATCCCACCAGGAAAAGGGAGAAGAAATGGATCCAGAAGCCAAAAGCATGTTTTTCATTCTCAGCCAGGAAGTTAACTGGCAACAATCTATTACCTACAAAAGCCTCACTGATATATATAAAGTCTATGTTTCCTGTCCTGACTTATACTTCACAGAAAATGATGATGGAGAGGTAGACAATGCACTTACCTGAAAAATGGAAATGATACAATTGATTCATAAAACCTCCAGGTAGCAACTAGATCAATCCTGTTGGGGTTAGTAGCATAGTATCTCCAGGCAGCCTGAATTACAAAGAGGAAATGATTAGTGTTACGTAAAGCTATTCCCCAGGCTTACAGCAGCCAGATTGTTTCAAAGAACATAATGATCCACCTGAGTGACTATTTGGAAATTAATTACTAATCAGCCATATCAAATGAGTGTCACTATATGGCAAAATTATTGACACTGGTTTATGATCAGAGAGGGCTGTTAAAGGAGCCAGGACATGGAGAGAACCACCAACATCAACAAGACATTACACTTGACTAAAATGGTTTTGTTCTCATATCTGGTGTGTCCAAAAGAGCTTCAAGCACTGCTGGATTTGTCCAATATTTCTGGAAGTGCTTAAGCTCGTTTACTATCTAATGTACCATCAGAGGAAATTTTGCTGAGCAATTTGCTATTTCAGCATTTAGCTCCAGTCAAAATTCTCTAAGCACATACCTAAAAATACTGTAGCTAAATTACCTACCTGCTAAGTGGAGATGTTTTAATTTAAAAGGTAAATTCAATTCACAACTTATCCCTGCAGCCCCTTCTGTTTGCTAAGGAGTGTTTTTAATGAGAATAGCATAAAATGACACTCAGCTTGTTTCTCCTGAGTACTGGTTTGATCCTGAGCAATCCTGAGCAAACCAATGCTTCCATCTGATACCACAGAAACTTTCTCTGTCTTTCTGTGGAAATGCTGCCGTTTACTTCATTGCCATCAGGGTGTGCACCACACCTACTAGGAGTAAATCCTGTCAAATTTGTCAGCGCCCAGACTAGTAATTTTAAGTTTAATTTTCTGAATTCATAACAAAGGTCGTAACTGAATTCCAAGTGAGCTAAGAAGTCTCTTCCCATTGAATCCTCTGATCACCCAGTGACTTAACAGGAGAGCCAGAATTTCCAGTTTTTGCAAACCACACATACTATTTACGTCGTTTGCCTTGGTTGAAACTGTCACTGTCTATTGTGTTACTTCTATTGCTGTTTTCACACCAATAACATAACTTTGTACATAAAAGCACTCTCTCGAGCGAACTGACAAAACCTGGATTTTGGAAAGAATATGTTTTAGACAGCTTGTTTTCTGTAGTTTTGTGGCACTGATGCAGAAGTTGGTTGGTTTCCAGAAGCTAGCAGATGAGATTCTCTCTTCTAAAGATGCTGTTCTTCTGAAAGATATTCTGGGAATTGAAAGATTCCTCAAAAACTGTTAGGACCATTGGATTATCTAGTTCAATGTGAAAAAACCTGACTCCTTTACAAACACAGCTTCTCATCTCCTGCAATGGGAAATGAGAATTTGGGCAGAGGGGAAGCAGTGGCCCTTGTTAACATGATGCAGCAGTCTTCACACACAACACTTTTTCAAGGACAGGATAAATGGTTGCAAACCTGAATGAGTTCAGCTGCTGGCTTTCTTCTTTTCTCAAAATGTTTTTGACGATGTTGCTCCTGGACCTTCAGTGCCAGCCCTGAGCCCAAAATGCCCTGAAAGCATAGAGTGATGCAAGATTTTAGACGTTTCTTATGCAGAAAGAATGGATTAATAATGAGAGGAAACTGCTCTGTAGGTGGAGACAGATATGGCTACGTGGGACCTTTGTGCAGTACAGTGTGCCTTTCCCACTGCTCTGCTCATGAGACATGAGTTTGCCATGATCCTCTCAAGGGTCATAGGCCATACCAAATCATTTTAAGGTCATCAACAGGATTCCTGAATGTCTACTACCTTTCCAAGCTGGAGGTGTCTGGGTGGAGTATTATTTTCCACTCAGGGTGGAGAGAATCTCTGCTTGTGTGATAAGAGCTATGCTAACCATATTCTGGATTTGGGTGTGTGGGACTTCCATCCTCTGTGAAATTCTTTCCAAGTCTTGATCTAAAGAAAAAATATCTTAAAATCTGGACTTGGGATCATTTCTGTTGCTATTTGGTCCATCTCACCTAGATCTTGTCTCATTCTTACCGCAGGAGTTTGCAGACAAGGCAAATATTTGGCCTGTGTAACACACGAGAACAAACATGCTTCCAAAAGCAATTTAGAGATCTCTTCTTAAGTAGCCAGAGTAAGATTCACTCAGCTAGATCAAAAATACCTGTACTGTCACCTGCTACCTAAATTCCCTTTAATCTCAGAGGGCAGAAACATTTGAGTGGTGGTGTTAGAGATCTCCTCTAGGAAGGAAGGGAAACAGATGAGATAAAATGCTTTGCAGAGCTGCACTGGTTATAAAGGATGACCACTGATCTGTGATGATCACTCAGATGTAGATCTCTAGCTTGCAAGTGTTTAGAGCTGGGTAAGATGGGCCCAACCCTAATTACTAAAACAACAGCCCCCATATCCTTAAAAAATATATCTTGTGTGCCTATGTCAATACCAGTAAACTAACCTGGGCCAGGGTACAGGCTCATGAATTGCCCCATGATTTCCCAGACTGTTCACTTGCTGGATTAATTTTGTCCTGTGCCAACGAGCACTGTCTCAGAAAATGCCCACACTTGGTTCGAGGAGTATCGGGGTGACGTATTCCCAATAAGCTCTATGCAAAGTTGGGAAGAAAGGAGTTTGATTTACTCATATAGACCAGCTCAAGTGTCTGAATCACTTCTTTAAAGGGATTTTGATTCCATTGGCAGTTTTGATCACTTTACCTGCTTTTTGCAAGTGTACAGCGCTGAGCTGTGCCTAACAGAGAATGGGGAAGGTACTTACTGCGGGAAGAGCAAAGAAAGATACTCCAATCAGAGAGAACGTAGCTGCAATCAGCCGTCCCTCCCATGTTTTGGGGGTCTTGTCGCCATACCCAATCGTAGCAAGAGTGATCTGTGGGCAGAATGATCAGGACTTCCCATAAGAAAAACAAAGCCAACCACTCTGCTTTAAATGTCACCATGAAACCTGCATAACTCACTTAGCTCTATGTGTGCTCATGCACAGCTTCTTAAAACAGGATCTTGATGATGGATGAACTCATTATTTTTAATGGCGTCATAGTCCAGAGGCATTGCACCAGGGAGAATGGATTTAGTCTTAAAGCAGCTGCCTCTCTAGGATGCGTTTGCTGAAAGGACACTCCATCTGACATTGCAGAGTGAGTCTCCTGCCCACCATCAGTGCACAGTTAGGAATGGGACTTGCCAGTTTACAGCTTGCAGAACTTTAACAAATAATCAGGGCTACCTCTCCCTGAAGTCTCAGTGTCTGTAAAACAAAGATGCCTTTGTGAAAACTTAACTCCTTGCCTGCACAATTGCTAGTTTCCAGCTGTGTTTCTCACCAGTAAGACTCTACCTAAATATCCTGGATATGTAAGGATATGAAAATGGGAACTTTTGACTAAGAATGGTGAGGAGGGATCTTGCCATTTGTGATCAAACTGCAGTAAATAAAAAAATACACTGCTGAATTTCAGTCACAGCATAATATAGACTCCCCTAAGTACTGGAAGCAAAGCAACATGAATTCTGTCTACCAGGTGGCAAGAATATTTTGTGATCAAATGAGCAGTGGCACAAACCAATACCCTTCTCTTCATCAGAAGAGAGAAGAACAGATGAATCAAAGGTCCCTCTTGCTCAGAGTCCTACCACCAATGGCATTCCCTGAGTGACTCTTGGGGAATGCATGTAAGACACAAAAGAAGTGTTGAGTTATCCTTTCCAGAGACATTTTGGACTTGTCAAATTTCATCCCATTAATCATTGTTCAATGCTCCAATCTATCCATATCCCTCTGCAAGGCCTCTTGTCCCTCAAAAGAGTCAATAGCACCTCCCAGTTTGGCCATTTTCTGAGAGATGTAGCTCTCACAGGCACGATACTGCTGTCATGAAAGCTAGGTCTCTCATAGGCATAGGCTCTGCCAGTGCAGCTATACCCAAAGAGACACTCCTCTAAAACAGAGGTCTCCCAGAAGCCAAGAGCTCAGACCGATTTCTGGAAAGGCTTTAAGCATCTGAGGGCCTTTGACTGAAAATCAACAGGGATATAAGTTCTGTTAATTGATTGTAGGGGCATCCCTACTTTGGTAATGTTATACCAGTAACATGCTCCTCACCCAAATTTAGCAGCACTTATAACGTAATATTTAACATCAACACTTTATCTCTTCTTGGATATGGGGTTTTTAAGAAGGGGACAAGGTATTTTTGGAGTCACTTACCAGCCCCCACCACAGTGCATCTGCATAGGTTTCAAACTCTTCCTTCATCTCCACTCCGTTAGCATCCTTTTCAGGAACATCTTTTTCAACCAGATAAACAAGAAACGAGGACAGAATGAGTGTCAGGAAGCCGATGTACCAAGCAGTGATGAGTTCCTGCAAAAGAAACAGATGGACAGTGGAGGGGCTGAACACAGCCTCAGTACCCACAGTGGCAGAGTAAACATCAGGAGAAGAGAGAAGCACCGAGCATAGCAGCAGAGCTGTCGCTGCTGGCATGGTCACAGACCATGACCAGCCCATCTCAGCACTTACTGGGAAATAATGCAGAGATTTACAAGAATTAGCCCTTACATGGCATCTTCCTTGGGAACAGCTCGGAGCAATCTGCAGCTGAAGTTCTGCATAACGCTGTGTTAAGGGCTTAGCTGCACCCATGACACAGGGTGCTGCAGGGCTCTGTCCCTGACCTTGACTTTTCCCGTTCCAGCTGCCTCTAGGCTTGGTCAGTCTCAGCAAGCAAATCAACAGCTCTGCCCTCTCCCTACCTCCAGAGACCCAAGGCTACAGGATGCAGTTCCTTCTCTTTAGGCATATCAAAGCAGGTTCCACCATGACTGATATTTTCACCATGAATGGACACAATAAGAACAGACTTTGAAAATCATCTGTGTGAAAACAAAACCTGAGGTTCCTTGTTTTGGAGACAATGACTAAAGTGGAGTGTGTGGTTAATCCCACTGACATGGGAGATGGAGCAACCCAAGTTTAAACCCCAGCAATGTCTGAAACAAAGCAGAAACATTTTTGGTGAAGGTCTTCAAAAGTGGGAAAAAAAATCAATATTCCAATTCCTTTCATTTTCTGAGAACTGCATTTGGGGGGGGGGGGAAGCAGTAGTTGAGAATTTCTTAAATGAGTCTTGAGATAAGTCAATTTTCTTGGCTAATTGCTGGTCTGCAACCACAGAAGGAAATTTATTGGCTAACTTTGTTATCAAAATTGTTTATTTAGTGTACCCAGTAAAGCAAAGTTCTCACAACCCCTTATTGTCTCCCTCAGCCAGCTGAGGTCCAAAGGGTGGTAGCGGGGAATCAAACAAGGAACCTTTGGATGAAATCCCACATAATGAAGCCTTAAACAATTTTTAAACAATGTATTTGGCACATAGACTTCCTCCATGATCTCAGTTTCCTAAGAAACATTTTTGACATAAGTGTTTATATGCCACCTGCCTTGTAGCAAGTTTATATGGGGAAGAAACAGAAGTTGGTACGAAACGAAGCAGGATGGGTATCCCTATCAGTCACTACAAAGAAGCAGTCTAATTATGGTGTGCCAGCTGGCATTTTAATTTTCAAAAACTCTAAAATGTCAGGAATGTCATTCATGGATAAGAAAAAGCAGTATGTAGCACAGAGTATAAGCAATTTTTCTACACCCTGTGCAGATAAGAAATCTCATCTAGAGGATTTTTATGCAGATAGTTTTTAACTTGTAATAATGTTTGGTGAAAATGCAAGAACACAATGTATCTGTCTGGTGCGAGACAGGATGTGTCTGACTATAGCATCAAGTTAGACCGAGCAAATATGATTTTAGAAATTTTGTCTGTCTGGGTTCACACTGTGTGCGTCTTTCTACTGCCTGACCCATGCTTCCAAAGAGAAATTATACCAGTAGCCCCCTCTGAAACCACATTTCTGCTAACCAGCCTCTTTCCATTCCTTCAAAGTACTGCTCCATCTGATCAGACAAGTCTGAGAAGCCACTACAAATGTGTTGCAATTACAGAGGTGTTTCCATCAAAGATTTCAACGTGCTTCACTGTTAAAGGGATGTCCCTGCTCTCATTCACTGTAAAGGCAAAATTCCTATTGCAATGACTATGGGAACGCACGCTCTCTCTTGTCACTTCCCAGCACCACTATTGAGTAAAGAAGGGTAAAGCAAGGGACAGAAATGGTTCACAGAATGGAAGAGGGAATAAAGCTGAAAGGACAAAACTATTGCTTGAACTACTAGACATAATCCCAAGGCATTACTGTACCTGTTCAAAAAAATTTCCCGTCAGTGTCTCTCCCCCAAACCTCAGCTGAGTCCTGCAAGCTTCTCACTTACTTTGCTATGTGCACAAATGGCTGATCCCAAAAGTTTCCATGTGCCACCCCGCCTGTCCATTCGGAGCATCCGTAGGATCTGAAGGAAGCGGAGGCTTCTGAGAGATGTGGCCAGAACATTGCCCTGGTTCCCGACAGCAACCACTGGCACTGAAGCAATCAGCACAAAGATATCTGCAAGGCGAAAAGAACAAAGCCTGCCAACAAAAGGCCTCATCACCTGCTTCTTAATCCCATCTGGTTGTGCTGCAAATTTCCCTAGGCAAATTTTAAAGCTGCCTGAAAATGCCTTCTCTTGCCAATTAAACAGATATCTGCACCTGCCACACAGTCAGCATCATGCACAGAACCCACGAGAAAGTCTCATAATCTGTTTACAGATCAATGCACTGCACTTGAGACACTGTCTGAGCTAGTTTAGGGATGCACAGAAACAGTGTCCAAATGTTGACAGAAAACCAGCCTTAAATTCACCTGTCCC